TTTTTTTTTTTTTTGCTAGAAACTATTTTCTTTTGTGAAAACACGCCTCCACGGAAGGATGTCGCGAAAAACGGGACGCTCGACGCTCTTCGCGTCGTTCTTGACGCTGTTGATGACACTAATAACGTTCTGGCGAACCGCTCACGCACACGTGGCTCTGACATTCCCGCCAGCCAGGCATTACGATCTGGACTTCCTGGATAACGCCAGAACGCCCGCACCGTGCGGCATGCCGCGTGGTGAGTTTACTAAACCATTATTATTAATTGTTCCATATTAGTCGCGTGTGTATGATATATTCCAGATGAATGTCCTGTATAATTATTTTGCTTGTCCAAGAAAAGTATTTTCAAATCTGTATCTCTCTGAGAAAAATGCTTAGTTGGATTAATTGGAATTGGATGAATCACAGAGTTGTCTGGTTAAATCTATTAAATTCTAATTATGATAATCGAGATTCTAAAATTGATCAAATCACAATTTCATAATTGCCTATTTTCAACTAGATATTTTTCTCAGTGTGATACACTTAATTTTTTTTTTTTTAGATATTTCAGAAAAATCTTTTTTTCCGCTTCAACTTTCGGCGAAATATCAAAATCACACGGAAGGTGTTATAGAAGCGTAATTCACATGGGAATTAGGAAAACAAGAATTAGAGTTCTCTATGTCGGAAGTTCGTTGATCGAGAACGCCTCGTGTTCTCGGAAACCGCGGCGAAGGCACTTTTCATGCGAGAGTCGCGCGCTTCTCATCTAGAGGTACGGAGCAAGGAGCGGGAGGGTTGAATGCATGGTGTGCAGGGGGCATGGGTTTCTATGGGAAAACGACATTAACGCGGACGCTCGATCTCCCTCTCCCGGCAGGGGATACAGCTAGCCCGCCGACGTCGCCGCCAGTCAGTCCGATTCGAAGCGACTTTCACCGGCTTGCATGAAGGGATCGCGAGCCTCTCGGTATTCGCATAGGCATTACCTTTCATGTTTTGCGCGTACCTAACCCGCCGATATCCAGGGCCGCATTTACAGAGGGGAAGAGCGAAACTGACCGTGATACATAGTTAGAAAGATCGCAACTTGACCTTCTTTTCCCTTCAAAGAAAGAATATCAAGACTGAATATACATGAAATGCAATGGAAGTGATATGAAAGTAGCATTGATAATTAAATAGATATTTAATTTTCTGCACTAATTAAGAACAATGAAATTTCATATTTCTACTGTGTATAATACAAAAATTCTTCATTTTAACTCTTTCACTTTGAGCTTTACAAAAGAAAACATGCACGGTTTTGCGGGAATGAAATTTAAAAATTTAGCTAGATACAGAGCTGAAAATAGTTTGTTAAATCATTGAAATGATCATGTAAGACGCTCAAGATGGTTGCTAAAACGTCAACATTTTTTGTATCATTATTTATTATACTTGAGCGTCTTACGTAATTATTTAGTCCAACAAAATTATTTTTAGATCTGTGTGAGTGTGTGTGTGTCGACTTAAATTTTTAATCTTTCCAAACCCAACATTGTAATGTACATCAATTTGAAGACATTTATTCGTTAAATTTTTTTTAGTTCTATTAATTATATCATCTGTGTGTGTGAAATCAGATGTACATAATAATGTATATTATACGTTTAAGAAATAGTCAAAATTTTATAAAACTTATTTAGTATGAATTATTTATTAAAATGTTCTTAAATTGAATTGAAAAATAACTATTTTTAACATATTTCCAAGAAAATCAGATTTGAAGAGAATAAATATAGCAAATATATATCCAAAAAATTCTTTCTGTATATATTTTCCTTTTTAAGGCCGGTAACGAAAAGAGTTGAAACAGGGAACTTTCGATTACGCTTCTTGAACATTCTTGTGATAAGAAGCGTATATCGAAAAACCGGGGGAGGTGTTGTCATTTACTCTCTCTTAGAACTCTTACTTTCTTTCTAATCTTCTTTCGGAACTTCGATCTACTGGTAAAGCCAACGAGGTGGAAAGCTGAGAAAATGTAGATCGTAATTATTACGTTCGACGTTTTCACATTGTTGCATCGTGCGACAACGCGAAGTCGTCGCAATTACCTTGCTCGGTGTCATCGATCCTCCCTTCTCCCCCACATTTTTCCTTGCGAAAGCGTAATTAAGACCACGCCGTAGATGGTACCGCACAAGTTATGCAACGGCAGAGAAAAGAGAGAGATATTATTCTCTCCTGTGTGTGGGTAACGCGAATTATTCGTTAACTCGGGGAAAAAGGAGTCTTCTGCGTGGAGACTTCTTTCCGTACGCTGACCCCATCGCTCTCATTTATCCACCTCCTCGCTCATTATCGGGGCAGTGATTAATTTGTACCACGCTACTTATTCTCTCACGCGTCGCACGAAATTGCGAAAAAGTCGCGTAACCGGTCGTAGAAAATTGCGACTCGAACTCGCGCGTCATGCTACGTAAGTGCGTGTGATTGCGTAGTGACATTTACGTCAATTATAATTAACAAATTAAAAGATTGCAATTGTATCTTTCTCATTTGCCGACACTATTTGATTATGCAGTCCAATTACGTATTATTGAATTACTTCTTGATGTTTTCCTTGTTTCTTACTCGATAGACTAATTGAAAAATCAGCTAGGAAATGAAAGAAGAAAGTGTTATCTAAAGTCTGTCCAATTTTTAATTGTAATTCTAATTTCTCGAATAAGAAATAATGCTGCTCGTGACGAATCGTTCTTCCTACGATTTTGCTGAAGTATTTAAAAATTTAGCTGGATACGGGTTTAAAAATAATTTTGTTGGACTATTAAAATAATTATGTAAGAAACTCGATGTGAGCAATACTAATAAATTTCTAGTAATCAGCTTAAAAGTCCTGCATAATTATTTGGATTATTTAAATTATAGTCCAACGAAATTATTTTCTGATCTCTGTATCTAACTAATTTCTTAATGTACTTTAGCAAAGCTGTTCTTTCCGTGCGGGAAAGATTCTGAAAATTTTTGTCGCTGCAGGTATGTAGAAATCTACCTGAATATTCCCTCGCGATTTTTATTAACGTCGCCTTGCCTCACACTCAATTCTGGATTGTAATGACTAAAACTAGCCGCGGTTTGACTTGACTGCCTTCTCACGATTGCGCTAACGCATACTGGCTGCGCAAACGCGGCAATAAATTTTTCTTTCCGCGGTTATAATTTAATCGAGCCGCTCTGACGGCTCCGCTCGGTCAGTAGAAGTGAAGAACCGCTTTCTTTCCGGAGACTTGGGGAAGCGGAAGAGACCGATATTACGGTAATACCTGCCGGAAAAGTTGATTAAAACGGTACCGGAGGGTAACCAATTATTTGCATTTATATTAAATTAATGCATAAAATTTGTGGATTTGACGTCCTATGATATCATACTGCTCCCTTTTTCCTCAAGTAATCATTGTAATAAAAAGAAAGCTGAAAAATTACATGAAATATTGATTGCCAAGCGATTATATTACAAGGGAAAATATATTAGTCTCATTGTTAATTTTTAATTTCTTTCGAAATCTCTCAAACATCAAATTAGTAGAATATCCATTCAAAAAATCTTCAAGAAACCTTCATGGTTAAATTCATTTACATACGTAATAGACGATCTGTTTTACGTAATTTTTCTTTTAAATCGAGTAGTGAAATTTTACGTAGCTTATATATAAAGGAAAGTGGGGGAATTACTGACACCTAAGAAAAAGTTAAATAAAGCAGCTATGTTACTTATTATAATAATTAATAGCAATCTTTATTCAAAAGATACTCTTTATTTATCTTTAAATTAGAATAATTAATACACATAAATTATCGATACAAACTGTAATTTAAAATAAAAGACAAAACCTTTATATCCGGAATTACCTACCGCCATGTAAGGTAATGTTAAATCAATTTTATTTTTTGTTTAAAATTTTAGTTTGTATTAATAAAATATTTAAAAAATATTGTAATTTAAAGTCAATCCTTCGAATAAAGACTTCTATAAATAATAAATAATCGCCGATTCCATTTAACTTTTCCCTTTGATATTTGCAAATACCTTCATTCTTTCGTCGTAAAAAATCATGGAAAATATGTAAATGGTTTATCTTAAACAGTTATACGTTCATGTGTAAAGGCCATTCTACATAAGACGCAGAACGCAGATCGCAGGTCGCGAGTGAAACGTATTTCAAATTGTGATAGGTTGCAGACCGAAATATGAAGGACGCAGGACGCAGGACGCAGGACGCAAAAGTTGAAATTCACCCAACTTCCTGCGTCCTGTGTTCCGCGTCCTACAACCTATTATAACTAAAATATGTTAGGTTAGTTTCTAGACCTGCGACCTGTCGACCTGTGTTCTGCGTCTTATGTAGAATGGCCTTTATAGTTTTAAATATATTGGATTATCGCGCGTCTTCGCGTTAATTTCACGTCCGCAATCTCCTCATTTTCTTCTATAGGTATATCTTAATTTTGAAATTTTCTCCCGATTGAAAAGCTCGATAAAATGCTCGATACTTGGGCAGAAGGCTGAATGTAAATTAATAGGCTAAATGTCTCGTAACGGGCATTTTCAGAGTGCTAGATTGCGACTTATCAGCGTTAGCGATACGTGACCTCCGGAGCAGGCCGAGAACAGGTTGCGACAAACTCGAACGAGGCCAAAATCAGGCTTCGCGACTTTTAAACGGTGATAAATTTTCAGACTTAATCGTCGATGGTGCGGAACGCGGTGTTATTTATCAATGTCCGATCTCACTTTACTTTACGAGATTACGGTCACAGTCTAATTTTGATTTCAAATATCGTTTTTCAGGCCGCGTCAAGACATCGTTATTGGCAGGAAGCAATTTTAATGTCACATGGCATCTCGCCTATCCCCACAGGGTAAGTTAAGCTCTTACAGTTTTTTAAAGATTTTTTTTTTATCGCGTTAAACATGATTTGTAGCAATGTGAATAAAATAACCGAGTGTCAAAATCCATACGAAAAGAATGATTTTGCCGAAATATTTAAAAATTTAGTTTGATCTGAAAATAATTTAGTTGGACTACTAAAATAATTACATATAGACGCTAAAGTTGGTTATTAAAATGGCAAAACTTTTTATAGATTATTCATCATGCTTCCTATGTAATTATTTTGATGAGCCAACAAAATTGTTTTCAGATCTGTATCTAGCTAAATTTTTATAGATACTTGAACAAAATCGTTCTTTCTATACAAAAGCATATTTTTTTGTAAAACATGTTATAAATTAACATTTATGATATATATATTGAATACTTTTCAAATTATATTTATTTATCTTAGGATTTACGTTTTAAAATACGTGTTATTTTTATTTACGTTATTACTATTATTTTATGTTACTTGTCTACTTATAAATTATGTTGTTTTGAAACTAACAAAAAAAAAATGTAGAACATCCTTTTAACACAGAATAGGCAAATGACATATTACGTTAAATTAATATTTGGATACGTTAAAAATTCAACAATAAATTTTAATAAAGTGAATGAACATTTAAAAAAAACCGTAGCATAGACTTTTGCATAGCACATAATGTGTAAGAAAATCAACAAATGAGAATCTCTCCTTTTCTTCTATTTCACGGAAAAGAGGAACTCTGATTGATTGTTTCTCTTATGCACTATGCATTATGCGTTATGCAAACGTCTATGCTGCGGCCTTAACGCAATCTACCGTATATAAAATATTATCGCAATGTATACGAAACACACACACACACACACACACATCGAAAAACACGTTTCTGAATGGATTACCATCGCTCGGCCTCTACGCAATCTACCGTATATAAAATATTATCGCAATGTATACGAAACACACACACACACACACACATCGAAAAACACGTTTCTGAATGGATTACCATCGCTCGGCCTTCTGCCGCACGAAATGTCTCGCTCGTCGGCTCGTGGATTTCTCGCGGATTCACGCGAGAGAGAAAGGAAATATAAAACGTAACACGCCATGGTGACCATCGGCGTTAAATTCGCTGCGGCGCGCGTTACACATCCGCACTTCCAGCCAGCTACCGGCTGTTTAAAAGTCGTATCAGCGGTTACGTGAAGATAGGATAAAATCACGTACCGTGCGTTTTTATTATTTCGCATCGGGACCACTTTCTCCGTAGCGCCGACCACTTTCCGGGCCACTCTACGTCCCCGGTCGATGCGAACGTAAAACGCGTTTGGCATAATGGAGCATTCTTCGTACACCGCACGAGTACCTGCGTAATACCGCGCACTTCGAGGTCTCTCTCTCTCTCTCTTTTTATGGCTAGGTAATTAACCCTTTTATACAGCACGCGCATTGCACAGTGAATTATAATGACTGATGTCCGTTTTCAAGGAGTAGGCTTTCTATAGGTAGCTAGAATTAAAAGTTCGTGCAACACAGAGAGCGATTAAAATCTAGATTTAAATCCGGATAAATTGAATTTAAATTATACTCATCGATTGCATGGCGCAGTCTTGTTGAACGCACACGATACCTATGATCGTCCGAAGGAGAAAGCTTTGCGATACTTCGGAGAAAGCATTAACTGATCGTGAAGCGTGAGATTAACGAGGCGCCGTGTGTTATCAGAACTTTAGGAGAGACCGTAAACGATGGTCCTTATTGCTCTATATTAAAATTAATTCTTGTCGATCCCCGTCAATTACGAGAAAGCGAGAGAGAAACAGATGCTTTTACGAGCTTTTGTGGAAAGCACTGTCACAGAACGAAACGTTGAGAATATTGCGGGGACACTGTATATCATCAGAGAATTATATAGGACCGTAAAAGATACAACGTTTTCTTTATTAACATCTGAAAAAGAAACCTTTATGAGTTCTTGCAGAAAGCATTATTGGATCGCGGAGAAATAGTTGAATCACATATGTTATCAATGATATCAGAAACCTTGCAGAACCATATAAAAATCTATTTAGTATGTACGATTAGGTGAGCTAACAAGTGACCTTAATTTTACTTTCAGAGATCAAGGTGGTATATATTAAAGTTGCTTATTGATTTCATCTACGTATAAACTTGATTTTTATAATCTTCTCAACTAAGAGAGAGAGAGAGAGAGAAGCTTCTGTACACAAACCTCTACACTATCTTTTTACACAGTTACGACCATAAATCCATCAGATCCGATAGCTTACAAATCATTAAAACGTCACAGGTCGAAAGCAATAATTTATTTATCGTGTTTCTAACGAGCGTCGCAGCGCAGAACGATGAGCAACCTTTATTTCACCTTTTTTATTGCATTCTCGACGCGTCTGTAGTAGTAAAAGCGTGTATGTATTGCTAAATAATAATAACAGCAATAACAGCCTCTTCATTGTTCATTAACTGCACCGTCAGGCAAACGTGGAAACGCTCGTTCGTGCTCGTTGTGCTTGACGATAATCGCTGTCGGTCGTTTGTATTCAACGTATAACGATCACTCGAACACTCGACGCAGGACATTACGAATTTGTCCGCACGTGGTTCTACGAAAAGGAGAGGAGTACCACGATGACAACGACGACGACACGACGACGTGCCGAGTGCCGAGAGCCAAAGAGGTTCCTCTCTTCTCTGCCTACACGCGCTCGTCGCTCAAGGTGACGCGCGCTGAATTATTCACGAGCGTGGTCTCCTCGTAAGGCATGTAGATCTATGAGTAGGACGAATAGAGGCGGTATAGGCAAGCAAGCAGGCAGGCAGGAGGCAAGCAAACAGACAGAGTGTGCAGCCCGGAGCGTCTCTAAGGCAGAACAGATCGGTATGCTGGGTACCGTAACTCGAACGTCGTCGATGACGATCGCTCGAACACGAAGGCGTCGTCCCTCGCCTTCGGCTAACGTACAAAACCCGCGATTTTCTTGCCCAGCGAAGCGTGCGGCGAAACGAAACAAACGCTCGTTCTCGAAACAATTTTCGTCCTTGCGGCACGATTACCGGAACGATTTACATTTTCTCTTTGTAATTCTTGGATAAGTGTAAGAGTAAAATCGAGTTATCGTATCTTTCTCTCAAAAATATTGTATTATTTAGATCGTAATATCATTACAGATATACATGCGATAATAGAACAATGGACAATATGCGCGTAAACCTTAAAAAACCGTGGGAGAAAACATGCGAATTCTATACAGACATTTAATGTTTAAAAGATTTATTAATAAAAGAATCGATTCTAAATTAACCTTTAGAGAGCAGAGGGAGGGGTTTATTTTATTTTAAAAATCTTCCAGCTTTTCCTTTAATATGATTTACGTTTTATGATTCATTGCATTTTTGCCTCAAAATATGACAAAGTTCCAGCACCATTATAGTGACTTCCTTCATGGTGTAAGAATAGTTTATTATGTTACATGCGCACTATAAATTTTTAGTAGTGACAATAAATTTTGGAACAGTCTTTATATTCTTATACCATCTAGCTTTTCTGTAAAGATATAATTTCGAAGAATTGGACTGAATTTTTTAGAACATACTAAACAAAATATTTAATTAATAAATTTCGCTCGTGTTTTGCAATGCAAATTAAAATAGATAAACGGTTTATATAACGGAGCTAAATGAATTTAATTTTGTTCTTAAATTTTATAATATAAATGAGAACATAGAATTAACTAAAGTGTCGTCACAACAATCGTTATATTTTCAACGGAAGGAAAAACAGGATTCTTATTTGATTGAGAATATCTTTAATGAGAGAGAGAGATAGGAATAAAAGAAATTATTTATAAGTGTGATTCAGAGGACAGCCAAGAGTAGACATTCAATTCATCAATAGTTAGTTGAAGCAACCCTTGTGGCTCCGTTCATGTCACAGATATCGGTAACATCTTCTCTTTTTGAAAGTGAAGCGCTGGTAATCCTTCAGTTTGGATGAACTGCGTCTGTTGCGTTGTAACATCTACATTCAACTTGATCGGACGAATTTGTAATGATAATCCTGTCTCATATGTGCCTCTACAATACACTCACATTGAGAACAGGAAAATCAATCCGAACTATAATTGTTACATCAGCATGTCTTTATCGCAACGTATCACACATCATAAGAAAATATATCAATCTTTCTGTTTGTGTCGTTTACGACACAAACATCTGTAAGAATCGCTGAAGAAGGACCTGTGATTTCCGAAACGGACGACACTTTAGTTAGTTTTATGTTCTCATTTATATTATAAAATTTAAGAACATTAAATTCATTTAGCTCGATATGGACCGTTTATTTATTTCAAAATATTTAAATATTGTTTTTTTTTCTTTCCTTCTCTCTCTCTCTCTCTCTCTCTCTCCTCTTTATCAATCCTAGAATTACGAAAATATATCAATAGCCACTGCAGTTAAAAAAGCGGAGAAAAAGAGTCGCTTCTAATTTTGCAAGGTCTCTCTTGTAATCATTCGCAGGAAAAGCTCGCGAGGCAGAAAGATGAAAGGTACACCCGCAATGAACATCCGCGCGCGGATTACGTTACGACAGAGACAGGTTGAAATCTTGGCCGCCGGCGCGGCACAACGGCCCGCACAGACCCCCTCTCAGTTGCCGTGAAAATATCTGTGGCACGAGAAAAATTCGACAATAACAACCGTACCTGCCGAGAGTGCAGGTGTGTTCGCCGTGCGAAGCGGTACCACGCAGCCGCGGTACTTCGTAGCTTCCCTTTCTCCTTCGTGGCGGCCGACCTCTTGAAACTCGAAATACCGCTGTTTCGCGACAGCGCGGCCACCGGTTTTCGTTCATCGCGCGTCTCTTTTGCATCCGCGTGAATGCCCGTCATATCATTGGCATCACATAATATTCTGAAGATACCTATTAAATTAAGCGGCACACAAATCCAACTTAAGAATGTTTTGTTTATATAATATTAGTTAAAAGTATCAGTAAAATAATTTAGTTAAAATATATAATGAGTCAAAAATGACTAATACCAGCCAATAAAATTAAAAAAATTTTGATGGTATTAGCTCGTCCTGAAATAAATATGCAAGAAACAAAACAATGAATAATTTGATTCATAATGGTTTTATACGGCGAGATAAATGTATCTTGTTGCAATTTTAGATTAAAATAACTTTTTAACGAATGAGTGAATCCAAATAAACTTTTGCACGAATATTTATCATCGTTTTATTAATATATATAAGTTTTTAAAAAGAAAAATGTCAGTTACAAAAAATTAAATAAGATAAAACATAAATTCTTACTTTCACAAAATTAATATTAAAAAATAAAATTTAATTTAAAGATTTTAATATGTGATTCATCATATTATTAAGATCCAAGATGCAATGAGCATAAAAAATTGTTAGATTGTTAGTTAATGTAATTCATGATAGTACTACGATAGTTTATTAGTTTGCGTTGTAAGTCTGAAAAAATTTCGGCGCGTATTTAAGAATCTACATACGTATATAAATTCACACGAAATTATACATATAAGAAGCATCCATGGATCTTGCAAGATCCAGCTTGACCGTAAAATGGCTTATTCTCATCGGTATTTAGTTTGAAAATTAAATTATTTACAAATTTTTATAACATAAAATGTCTTTCAACATTATTAGGATTGATCTAAGAAACGAGAAAGAGTATAAAAAATTGTTAAATTGTTAGTCAATTTATACTCGTGATATTATTGCGTTTCAAGTCTGAAAAATCCGCGCACAATTAAAAATCTACATACGTTGTATATAAATTCACACGCAATTATATATAGAAGCTCGAAATCCAACTTGACCGTTACGACATGTTCTCATTGATTTTCATTGGATTCAAAAATACATAAGAATCAGCCAGAATTACCGAAAACTGAACAAAATCATTGTCGATTAATGTAATCAGAACAATGCCGAGGCTAAGGATAATCATATAGGTTTATAAGGATTCGATTCGATGACCACAATAACGATTGTCGATTCCGAAAGAGGAATTACACGTTGCACACCTCGATTAAGTTACAATAGCATCTACGGCTATTAATCGCGACGCGATAATTCTTACGTTGCTGTTTCCTACGGACAAGTTCCTACGGAGAGACGGATGCGGATGTTACTCAATAGCGTTTATGAACTTGCTTCGGCCTGCATACAAGCACACCACGCACTTTCCTAACGGTGCTCGGGACGCGACGATAAAGAATCTCATGGTGTCACAACCAGTGGCGCATATCAATCGGTCGTTCGACCCGTTCATTAGACTCGCTGTCGTTATGCCGTCGTTACTCCCGCGGACAGTGCGGACACTGGGTGGTCCGCAAGAGGCAAGGGGAGAGGGGCTTGTGCCCTCCATGAGTCTGTCGCGCGATCTCAATTCGGGACACGTTTCATAAACCGCCAAGTGGGTGTCGCAAGCGCGTGATTGCGAGGTGCGTTTACGAGTAAACGTTAACAGAAACAACGTGACCGAGAAACATCCGCGTCGTTCGCGCATGCGACACGCTTATAACGCGATTTTGTTCGTCGTACTGAGACAAATTTCTCTGGTTGAAAATGGACAAACCGGAAGATTCTGATCATATATCAATTAAAATTCTGTTTGGTCTCAACCAAAATTATAATGGATTCAATATATACAGTCAAAAAATTCTAATTTGTTCATTTTCACCTACAACTCCAATTAATGCAATTAGACTCTTTTTATTAATTATCGTAACTATTATTTACGACATCCTGGCGTAGCTGTGGGCGCGAGTGTTTCTGTCAAAATTCATAATAATATAATTTTCATGTTTTTGTTATTACTTGTTAACCATAACTGATGGCCGGAATATCTGTCAAGATAAATTGAGTATTTTATATTACAACTAATTAGGCATCCTGAAAGAAAAGATTGAGATTGGCTGCTGCAACCAATTAGAAATGTTATGCTATATTCAGCCAATTTTTTCTTTCAGTGCACCATGGAAATTTTTAAGAATATTAAATTGCTTAAGTATGAATCTATTCGTAAAATAATAGTGTTATTTGTTTAACATAATTAACATAGATGTTAGGATTAATATATTTTCATTGCTAACACGTTACCAAAAAATTGTAGGATAATAACATTAGTTGTGCCAGTAAAAGCAGAGAAATTTTGATCCGTTATTGTTGATTTATTGAGGATAGCGTGTCCAATTGACGGCGACGGAACGAATTATCCGTGATGTTTTTTGCAACTCAACAAGTTATGAGCGGGAAAAAATCGAGAAATTGTACGACCGGAATCTGCTTGCATCAATTCCGTATTGGCTGGTATCGAAGCCACTGTACTGCGTTCTGTCTCGTTCTGATGTGTCATTTATTGCGGAACTCAGGAGGAAAAAACCATAAATTTAACGGAATGGCATGAACGGGCACAATAGAAATGGATGGATGGACAGACATTCAGTTCACGACTTGTGGAGCACATTCTTCATTTTCTAGATACGTGACAGGCGCACGAATTGACTTCTCATAAAAATATGATCCTTCTGTTGAACCTCTGTTTATAATGTTGAGTAGCGCGATAATTGAAACAATTATGATAAGATTCAAAATTTTGACAAAAAGAAATAAAATAATGTGTGTGTGTGAAGAGAGATATCAATATTATTAATTAAAATAATAAAATATATTAATTATTATTCAAAAATAAATAAACTTTAATTTTTAGTTTAGATTTATTAAAAATATGTATATATTTTCGTAAATATATGTTTTCAAATAAATATTTTTTTTACTTTTACTCTTTTAGGGAGGATTTCGTCTTCAAATCTTAGATTTTTATGACAGACCTCTGATCGATTTGACGCCCATCACACAAAACAGCGAGTTTGTCGAGGGCGATGCCACGTAAGTATACGATGATGTGTCCTTTTTCTCGAGCCTGATTACCTGATTAAACCTGACGTTTCCGATTTTCCAGGGCGCAGAGCTATCCAGTGCAGCTGCCGCAAGATTTCACTTGCATGGACTGCACCATCAGGCTGCTGCGGGAGGCCGAGGAATGGGGTTCCAGCTACAGATTTTGGTCGTGCGCCGACATCGATGTGAGTTTCTCGTGATTTCTCTTGGAAAATGTAACTTCCAACCTGATTAAACGCAGAGTAATTTAATTGATGAGCGAAACGACGGAAAATGAAATTGAGTATCATATATTACATTACGACGTTGACACGTTTTACTCGCTATTAAATAAAAACTACGGTATAAAAAGGTTGCATAGAAAATGAAAATACAAAATCGTTAATAAATTATTGACGTATTTGTGTGTTGATTGTTTTTCTTTCGAATCGATAATGTGTGTATCGTAATTACTAATTATTGTAATTACTGCAATTCTTTTTCTCTCTTTATAAGTATATAATTGTGATAAAAATACAATATAAAATAATTACAAATTATTAACATATTTGTATATTAATAATTTTTCTTAATTAACAATATATTTAATTATTATATTGTGTAATCGTATTATTACGGAATTTTGTAAACTTTTTTTGATGTGTCTAATGGTTATATTAATCAAACTTCTGGTTATTTCTACTAGAATTCTAGTAGAATTAACCAGAAAATTCTGATTTGTCTACTTTCAACTAGAATTTTAATTAATCCAACCAGTAATTTTTTTTAGCATCCCAAGTAGCAAGGTGCCATTTTAATAATGTCTTATTGATATCGAAGACGTCATTAAAACGTTATTAAAGTGCTAATGACGTCACCTTGTTGGGATTTACATTTAAAGATGTCTTATTAAAGATGTCTAAACTATCTAGCGATTATCCTCGTAAACAAAATTAACGACAAATTTCCTCACAGTCGAAAGATTTCTTCTCCTCTGTCTCTCTGAATTTCCACAGGGATGTTCTGTAATGTGTGATTTTTCCGCCCACCAGATTCGCGATAGGAAGGACTATCGAGAGGATTGTAGCGGTCATGGACGCTACCTGCTAGGCAGGTGCAGGTGTGACCGTCTCTATCACGGCGCGAGGTGTGAAATTAAAGAGGAGTGCCAGGACGACACTGACTGCGGTATTCAGGGCACGTGCGTCGACAATGGTGGCACAACCGTGCCTACCAAGCAGTGCTACTGTGACGCCGGATGGTTTGGTCCGGGTTGCGCGAAGAGTAAGCTTCCCTTCAAGAATTCTTCGCATAAGCGGCGACAATCGCTTCTGGAGAACTTATGACGAACCAATATCAATATCAACATCTGAACGTGATTGGGGAAAAAAAATTCAAAATTCCAGGATTTTGATTTCTCCAATGCCAACACATAAAAACTAAGACTGAGCTTTTTTTTATGAAATGTGAATGTTGCCTTTCTTTTTAATTTTTTAAGTACAAAACTTTAATTTATTAATGCATTTATTAATTACATTTTAAATATAGCTAATAACATTAAAAGTTGATAAACTTGCATTGCAAATATTTTTATCATATTTTTTAATATGTGTCGAAAAATTTATTCAACATATTAATATTTGTTGTAAGATTTAATAACCAATTTTACTCGCGACTATCAATTTTTGATCACTATTAATTAAAGATTGATGAGCATTAATTTTTTAATTGATCCTTAGAAACAGAAGTGATTTAATAGCTGCCAGTGCGCTAGCAAAAAAAAAGAGATTAAGAAGGTCTCAGACCGTAGCGAGCGTTGTTTCAATAAATTTGCGGTGAAACTGTCCGTGAAAAAATCATTCTTGCTCTATTGATAATTCCACTTTCAGGATCACCGGTGAAAAGCATCGATGTAAATTTGGATGCGTATTCGATGAAGCGATTCTCCAACGACATCATTTTCTACTGGCGGATACTAAAAGAGAGCAAAGAATTGGAAGGCATTCTTGTGGCCAATTCTACAACGTGGATTGGTATCGGATGGAGACCTAGCGATCTCGGTCCAAGTTGCCGATCCTTCCCTGCGATTAAGGATACGATCTCTGAACCACTTCCGCAACCGGAGCCGAAATCGGAACTCGTCAACAAATCGACGCCCAAACCGGAGCCAGAACCAGAGCCCAAACCAGAACCGGAACCGGAACCTGGCGTGGAAGGCGAGAAATCAATAGCAAAGAGACGATCGGCGAAGGCAGATGCTGCAAGTTTCAGAGTAACATCGCGACCGGATGTTGATGTTACTGTACAGACCAGCGTGACCTATCAAGTTAGCACGAAACAAGGTAAGATCTATTTATCGTGTTATATCACGTTATTATATTTCCTGGAAAGAAAGTATTTATCAATATTGCAAAATGTTCATGTCGTAGAGTATCTCAGGAAATTGCAAAAAATTCCGGTGCAACTGTCTTCACATATGTGAACGTTCTTAAAATTCATACGTCACTTTTTGCAACATGTAATATTTTTGTACGTGTACGGAATCTATGTTCCTGCAGAAAGAGAAAACATGTCTAGCAATATATACATACGTGATTTGCACTTGCTAGAGTGCTAGAGTTTGTTATTCGATTTTTTTCTTCTACTATGTCGCGCACAGGCGACATAATCATTAATACGCTATCTGTAGTTAATGTATTCTGAGATATTATATATGATTTGTTCAGAGTTCAAGGAGTTTGTAATTACATAAATGACAGTCGTAAAAAATGACAATGCAAACAGAAGTAATCCGTATCCGAATAATGATATGCTATGTATGCACAACAAGAGACAGAGAATACATATACACATCGAATGTAAAAAATGCACACGCGTGATTTTTTATTTCTATAAACTGCAAATTCTACGAAAGTTAAAGCGAGAGTTAAAGACAGAATTATTTTTTCGTATTTATCATAATGAGACATTGACTACAATTATTATAGGAAATTTTAGTTACGTAAGTAAGTTTGTGACGTAATCTTAGCAATATTTTTTTATTAAAAATTAATTTTGTATAGGTCGCAAGAGGAGATCTCCAAAATCATCCGCAGCCTCTGCGCTTGGTATGTACTATGTATTTATGTCCAGAACAGCCCCGATGAGTCGCTCGCTTATTCAAGAATTTAATAGTGATACGTAGATTTGCCTAAGAAATCCCAGTAGTCTGTGTAACAATAACCTCCTTTCGAGACACGACGCACGAGGTGATGGCCCCAATAAGTAGGTAGTTTGCACGACGTACGATGCTTTGTTGCACAGGGAAACAGGTTGGCGAGTCCAGCGATGTTATCGAGCCGGAAACCACCTCTGAGCCAGAACCCACTTCTGAGCCAGAACCTACCTCCGAGCCAGAACCAAAATCCGAGCCTGAACCCAGCTCCGAGCCAGAGCCGAAATCCGAGCCCGAACCCAGCTCTGAGCCAGAACCAAAATCCGAGCCTGAACCTAGCTCTGAACCGGAACCAAAATCCGAGCCTGAAACTAGCTCTGAACCGGAACCAAAATCCGAGCCTGAACCTAGCTCCGAGCCGGAACCAAAATCCGAACCAGAACCTAGCTCCGAGCCAGAGCCAAAATCTGAACCAGAACCCATTTCTGAGCCAGAACCAAAGTCTGAGCCGGAACCGAAATCTGAACCGGAGCCAAAATCCGAGCCAGAGCCAAAATCCGAGCCAGAACCAAAATCCGAGCCAGAACCAAAATCCGAGCCAGAACCTAGTTCTGAGCCAGAACCAAAATCCGTACCGGAGCCTAATTCCGAGCCGGAACCAAAGTCTGAACCGGAACCCAAATCTGAACCAGAACCCAGCTCGGAACCGGAGCCAAATGTGGGTCCGAAGTCAGGAGCGACGAAAGGTAACGAGGACCGATTTAACGCTTATTTCGCACATATCGCCATGCTACACTATCATATCATTAACTCCTAAGCTATCAGAGATTTTTTGCTTTCTAACTTCTTTCATTATTTTAGTTGTTGACATTGTAACAAAAAAGAAATACGTACGTTTGCAATAATTCCGCGATACGTATCTATTTTATATAAATACATTACATTAATGAAAACAAATTCAATGATAAATATAATCTCTCGTAGCTGTAGAACATATCTCAACGATAATCAGTAGTGTACGTACATGCACATTACTCATATTCCTTTCGATATTCGCGACTTTCACGATGACCGTGTGGCAGCCGGTAAAAGTTTGCACGAGTGGAACGTGAGGACTGCAACAGCAAATATTTGCCGTGAAAGCGTATTTAGTGTGCTGATAAGACGTGAGAGTAATCTATTCCGTCCGCCACTTCCGCCACCGAATACCGGAGTTGGATATAAAATGTTAATGCAACTGTCCTAATTCCGCATATAAATTCCTATTGATTTAATTTTACCAACTGCGTCTTTGCACGCAGTTGCAAAAAGTAGACAACTGTATGCAGAGATAATATCGATAACGCTTAACGCTTCACGTCGCCTATACACTGCTCATCACGAGAATTATATATTTTCCCTGTAAATATCGATATCTTCCGAATTGTAGCATGCATTAATTTGACACGAAATTTGCACGTGTCTCGATCTCTATCCGTCACGATTTTTCTTACGACACCGTAGGACACTATTTAACTCCTGCATTATCATAACATCGACTCATCTTACTCAGATCAAGAATTAATATGTCGGGACTAAAATGCACCAACTAGAAAACAGAAGTTTTCAAAAAACTTAAAGTGTATACAAAAAATATTTTAATTGAGGATGTAATCAGTAAATGTATATATAGTCTTTACAAAAAGTAAATGGAATTGGGAATTTATACTTTTAGTACAAAAATGAATGCTATTATACATATTATTACATATCAAACAATTTAATAAGATTAATATTTATATTTAACAATTTTATAATTAAAATAAAAATTTTCATTTTATCTTAATTTTTTTAAAACACATCTGTTTCTTATTGAAATAATTTGTTATCCTGAGTCTAAACCGTCAAACTTTTTATATTACTTTTAAATATAATATACAAAGATTTGTAATTTTTAATAAATTTTTTGTTTTGTTAAAAGATACGTGTAATATACATTCTTAATAAAAAAAGGTATATAAATAATAAAAAAAAGCCACGAGATGTATATACAAAATCTTAATTTCTTTTTAGGCGAATATTCGATTGACAGAAAATATATCAGACACATTTCATTATTAGTTCACCATTCAGTTTCACCACAGGCATTTCTACATGATAATTTTACGGCGAATTTTCGCAATGTTCGGGTCTTTGTGTTAACTAAATTTATTCGTACACACGAAGCATCGTTGCCGGCGCCAGGACACAAGTACACGCCCAAGCATGACTTCAACCCTATGGACTGCACGGATATTATAATCGGCACGGCGCGAGGAACGAGTTACAGGATCGGCGATTATTACACGAGGGACAGATCGACGCCGCGCAAGGATGCGTACTGGAATGGGAGGGACAGCCTGACGGCTGCGTTCGGCTACGAACGCGACGGCATCACGACGATACTCTTCCGCAGGAAATTGGCCGCGAGCGAGCCGACCGATCACGAGATCCGCGATGGTAATATGCAGGTGATTTGGGCGAAAGGTCAAGAGCCGGGCAGGTACATACATCAGCCGGCTAGTGGAATCGAGAAGGCCAAGGTCGGCGTCAAAGACTTTTACAAAGTGGACGAGCTCAAATATCACGGCCATAGAATGCAGAGAGGCACGGTCACCATGAATTTCTTCGGTGAGATTATCTGTTACAGCGTCCGACGCGTTTGTTTAGAAATTATGCTCGCGTGTGTCCAGCGTGGCGCTTAAAATCGTAGATTGTATTGTGAATGTCGATTCAATGTGTTTTCCAAAATTTTTCGCTTTTAAATATATATGTTTAATCTTTCTGAATCGTTTTTTTTTCTTTTCAGAATAATTTTTGTTATGCAGAAAAGATGTTTTATTAACTCTTAAAACATTCTTTATTTTTGTATGTTGTGCCCATTAAATATTTGAAGATATAATATTTAATATTTTAAACGTTTTTTCAGATGAAGTTAAAAGGCCGGAATTCGCCGGTGGTATAGCGTCGCAAGATGGTACCTGCGGTGGCCAGTGGCGTTATCCGAGAAATTGTTTGCCGGAAAATAACACTTGTGAATATGCTATACAATGGACGTACAAGGATAAAACGGTAATTTTTATCATATTTCCTTAGTGCTTCCTTTTGCGTAGGCACAGATAAAATCACTTCGACGAAACCGATATTATGGAAACTTTTCTCCGTAGGATCTGATAACGTTCGTAATCTCCACGACGAATACCAATACGTGGACTGGAGTTGGATTTTCTGATGACAATAACATGGTAAGACTTTACCAATTAAAGAAACATATACTTTGTTCTTTCTCTGATAATTCATTTAGTGAATTTATGTATAATATATACAAAAATTATTAAGTTAATAGTATTAACATATAAATACAAAGGTAACGCTTGTTATATTTAAAAAAAAAAACAACAAATAACGATATTAAAATACGGTGTTAAAACAAACAAAGCAATAAAAGATGATAATATTTATTGAATTATTCTATAAATTAAAAAAGAGAAACGTTTCGACTTTTAATTTCGGCTTATGAAACAATCTTCATACTTTTTATTTTCTGACTTGATGGACAATAATTTGACTGATTGACCATCTTATTTTCGTTTTATTGTTACAATTTACATGATTTATGTATATTATGTCAATGAGATTGAAGAGGATTTATGTAAAAGTCGAAAATGTTTCTCTTTTTTAACTTATAGAATAATTCAATGAATATTGTCATCTTTTATTGCGTTGCTTGTTTTAATACCGTATTTTAATATCGTTAATAGTATTAAGTTAGTAAATTAATTTGTGCATTCTTCCTAAATTTAAAGATACAGCAAACCCCACATTTGAGTGCTTTTTAGTGAATTTTTAAAATGTTTGTGTGCTCCGTTTCGATATCTGACGTTTTTTCAACTAAATCAGGAAATTAGCGATTAAGAGTCACATTACTTTAAAAGGACTGTTTCTCCTTGAAAAAAATACGTGTCACGTAAGAAGGAAGGTCGGTTATGAAATTTTCAAGTATAGTATTGTATTTTTTTTAGTCGCAAACCGATGCCATACTCGGCTGGGTCGATAAGACGAACGGTCGGGCTTTTGTGATGGACACCTGGATTAGCGGCTACAACGCACCGTTACTGGATCCATCGCAAGACATATACAACATCAGCGGCCGCATTGAGAATGGCGTAACCACTCTTCGGTTCTCACGAAAACGCGTAACGAAAGACATCAAGGATTTCTCGTTTACGGATGATCACTGTTTGTATATGATGTTCCCAGTGAAGGGAGGTATATTTAATCCGATTAACAAGAAGATTCGAAAACACGATGTGAAACCGGTTGTTTCTTCGGACAGAATATGTATCAAGTCTTGCGGCCAAGAAGGTAAATACTGATTACTGTATTTTTGTTATTTGCTGAAATTGTCCGATACAACTATTGACGCATATATAATTTGTAAAAAGACATTAATATATTATTGTTTAATTATATTAGCGAAATTTTTCTTGTCCAATTATTATTAGAATGTGATTGTCACTTAATTAATCTTTTTTGTTAAGATATAATTTTTTACTTATTGTGTTTTAAAATATATCTCTGATTATTTGTTATATATTATGTATATGTATATTTAAAAAATTATTCAATTGTTACTTAGAAATTGAAGATCAAAGCACGCTCGCACCGCCAAGATTGCATTACGATATTGAAGTCAAGCTCGTTAGCTTGGGTGACGGATTTATGATTCCCGCATCCGATAGTCCCGATTTCGAAGTAATCTCGAACAAGATATCGGAGAGCTTTGAACCAGTCTTCATGACGCTTCCGGGTTACTATCAAGTCCAACTCAACGAGTTACGAAAGTAAGACAGCAAAAAGGAAGAACTGACAAAAAGCAAGAAGCAAGTTTGATAAAGTACTACTCCTGCCCATTCTTGTTTCAGAGATAAAGAACAGGGAGTTATTGCGCGCATGAATCTGATAGTCGACAAGAACGAGGTCAAGGGTAGATCGTTGAAACCCGCGGATACCGGTTTAGAAGCGGAAAAAGCGTTGCGTGAGGCACTTATGAATGGTCAGGTCGGTGCACTCGGCGTCGATCCGCAGTACTTAATAGTAAGAACTCCTAGAGGTAAGCATTGAGATTTTAAGGTCCAGTTCCATAACTCACGGTTAACTCTTAACCGAAACTTAACTTATCCCAAGTAGCACAGCAGCGTCAAAGCTGCAAAGCGCTAAAAAAAAAAGCGCTTATGTATAATACATTTTCTAGCGTTTTTTTTCATAAACATTTTATAGGCACTGTGTGCTATTTGGGATTTTTCATCTCTAGAACCGTGGAAAGAAATGAGTAATAAATTGAATCTAGTGAGTTGTAAAGCTAGGCCTAATGCTCATTTCCACTAATGTAGATTAACTTTAATATCGCGATTTCAACTTATTCTTCAGCTTTTTCTAATTTTAAAAATTAAAGAAAGATGAAGAGTAAGTTGAACCCAGATAGTAAACAGATAGTAAAATTAATCTACATTGGTGAAAATTGGCATAAATGTCAGATACTAATGTAACACAAAATTTTCTTCTCCTTCGATAAATTTACCATTTAAAATTGGGGGATCCAAAATTAAATGATTTCTTACCTTTTTGGAGAAATAAAGATTTGTTCAGGTTTTTCCAGATATTACAACAGTAATTGTCTTAAAATTTCAAAAAAATAATTCAATTATATAGCTTCAAGTAGCATTTTTCAAATGTTAACAGTATGAAGAAACGGAAATTTGCTCAGATTATTTAAGATCTAATATACTAATCATCTCCATTGATCAATCTCACTACTTTATAGAAGACAAAAATATATATTATACTTATTTTCAGTAAACGACATAGAAACAGAAGATGAAAATGATCGACCGCCCTCCGCAACGGACTTGTTCCTGGGCGCAACAAAGTTCTATATCGTTGTCGGTTGTGTAGCAGCGTTACTAGCTCTAGCTCTGCTCCAGGCCAGTTGTACTCTTTACAGGAGCTCAAAGAAACGAGCGACCAAGGTATGTGTATTGGTCTGTGTGTGTTAAAAATTTTTTGTTCTTCTTCACGTATTTTTTTTCTCTCCACTTTTTCTCGCATTCCCAGGTCTTCCTCCTGAGTGTTGTGTTCTGCTCTTTCTCTAACGAAATCTTGTGGTAATCCCTAACGTGTTCCAAGAAAAATGTGTAACGTTATCAGAGAAAAATAGCCTTTGAGCATCATTTTGATGGAACTCTTGCACTTATCTAGCCATATTAACTGAACAACTGTAATAATATCGTAACAAATCTAATTAAAATAACTCGATGCTAAAAAAAAAAGCCTAATCATTAGAATTATAAAAGAAAAATCATAATATATTCAGAGGACATCAGGTTCCTCTTTTCTTCTTTATTCCGCGAAAACAACCTGAAAGATTAGATTACCATTCACGTACATCTTCTTGGAACATTCTGTAGTGTAAAAGCTACGCTTCCATCCCCTAATGAACCTGGCATCTTTTGCTTCGCTTGTGTTGCATGACTCGCTTCCCGCGACCAAAAAAGAGGGTGTACACGCTGCCTCTGGTTTCTTCCGATGCGCCCAACCCAATTCATCGTACGAACGCGACGCGGTACCATCGACAAAACGGCGATCACCACCATCACAAGAACAACAACAATACCAACCACCATCATCATCAACATCAGCTTCGGCATCACTACACTTCGTCTGAATTGCATCGAGCTAATCCCAGCTGGTAGAGCTTCTCATCGAGTGTAATCGGTGCGCAATGTCACACTCATCCCTATGTTCTTTTGCTCTAACCCAGGTATCTGACTAACTCGCTGTTATCTGGTTCTTCCTAACTCTGTGTAATCGCACATTTTTGCGCCTTTATAACCTCATTCCAGTTTGATTTTTTCCCCATTAATATAGGATTATTAAAAATTAACTTGGATATTTTTTAAATATATGCATCGACAGATCATCGTGGACAAATCATTTTGTTGTGCCAATTGGCAAATAAACATATGTGAAATATATAAAGATTATAATTTCTGATAAAGAAATGATGAAGGTATAACTTAAAAAAATAATAAAAGATAAAGTTTTGGAAAAAATTATTTAAATTTTTCGCATTCTAAGCACGTTATTTGTTTGCGCAGGAACGTTTGATTGCCAGTAATGCTTGGAAGGATTATGCTTCCGGCGCAAACACAAACTTCGCATTTGAGGCGTTCGAGACAGAAGAGAAGGCACCACCGCCGCCAATTTCCAGCCTGCCGAGAACAAGAGAAATGACCGGCAACGGTATAACTGGCATGAACGGTACCGATGCAGTTGAAGGGCCCAATAGGATGGTCGGACCGAGAGCGACTTACAGTCTTCCACGCGCGCCTGGTGCCAGACACTCGGCGCCTATCCAGCATGGTTACTATACGCAAGATCGCAGGGATCATTACGGGCGACCCAAGAGTATGCACAATCCGACAAGCATAGCAACCCAAGCGAATCAACCAGACTTCTATTTCATGCCCAGCCAACGAAAGTATAGTGGCGAGGTTGTGCGCGTTTATGTAGATTACAGCAACCAGCCGAAATAATCAAGACAAAGTTCAGGTCAAAAATCGTGAGAAAACGATTTACCCGCTTCTCTGAAGCGATCTGTACATATTCAAGTTGTAGTGACAGAGGTCGCGAAGAAAGGACTACGCAACCCCTGTGCACGCGCACGGTGCTATTTTATTCGTTTCTTTTTTCTCTTTCCCCATGATTTCTCTTTCCCGAAGATCCATTTGAATTGTATCGCTGGGTTTAAGATACGGGGAGAGAAGTTGCTCCGTAGGAAGCATAGAAGTGGCGATTACGACCAAAGAAGATATCCATGAGGCGCGCGCTCTATAATTCTGTATAGAGCACATGAATTCTCGTCAAACTTTTGTGCTTTTGCGGTGGAGAAACTGTATAATTATATAAGTAAATTTCATGTAGTAGTCGAAAATCTGATAGTTCGAACCGAGGATCTCTGGGTCCAAAATACGAATCTTATGACTTAGCAGTAAGTATTTTCAAAGATTCAAAGAAAGATCCAAGGGCCATATAGCTTAACATGAAGAAAATAAGACTTGAAAGACCCATGGATCCAAGAATAATAGGATTCAACAATCCTGAAATTCGAAAATTTAAAGACCGAAAAAAAAAACATGTACCTAAGTTTATCTCGCTCCATGCGTCTGTTTATATCGCGCAATAGAATACCGATACTCTCAGTGAGATACATTTACATCATCTATTCTAAAGAGCAAGCGACAACATGCGTTTGAGCAATAAAACATTTGTACATTTTTAAACAAAAATAACACGTCCTAAATTTTTTTGACGGATTACCTCTTCTCAAAAATCCTACTTTCATACTGTTTTACTTATAGATGCAGCTGGTCTATCAGTTTTCAGAGAAGTGACAGCACGATTACAATAATAATAAAAATAAATAAGCAAAGTATTTGTGAAACGGTTGCTAATAGTCGTGGATAAAAATTGTAATGCCTGTAACAATGACGAAACTGTGGATATAGAGAATCGTGTTGGTACGGATTATAAATTATTACAATATAGTGATAAAATTAACGATATAATACTTGTAATAATTATAATAACTATAGATGTAGCAGCAGTAGTAACGATGGCAATAATATTACAGTATTAATTACATTAATGTCATTAACAACGGCGTCGCGTGCAGCCAGACTTCCGGGATATCTTCACGAGCGATGGAATATAAGACGACGCCAAATATAAGCTCTCTCTCCTTTCTCATTTTCTTCCCCCTCTCTCCCTCCTTTCTCTCTCTCTCTCTCTCTCTCTCTCAATTTCTCTTTCTCTCTTGCGATCTTTAAAAGTACGCGAGCATACATCCGAAAGTCAATTGTGGCACGCACTGCCCGCGTTCCTATTATTATATAACTAGCATCGAGCACATATGTTCGGCTCTACCATAAAATTTTTTCCTTCGGTCACACGTGCGAAGTTTGAGAAACGAGTTCTATGCGAATCTAATATGTAGCATACCCACGAACGCGAATGCAAACGCCGCGCGAGACAATAGAGCGATGTTTGTGACGAATAAACGCGTGATTGAACTAGTGCTTGTTAGAATGCACCTCGAAGCGTTTTGTAAGAAATTAGACGTAATTGCGATCGTATTCCCGCTCGATGGGTACACCATTTTATCTCTGTATTTTATCTCTTTTTTTCAACTCTCTGTTTATTTGTTAGCTTGTCACTCATATATGCATTATTTCCCCCCCCTCCCCTCTCTCCCTCTCTCTCTCTCTCTCTCACCCACCTTCTCTTTTTCTCACACACATAGACATACACACTTACACACACACACACACACAATCACACACCCATACTCTCCATTCCCTGGCACGCACTCGTGTCATCATCGGCACTTGTACATAACTCGACACATCTCTCGATTAAAGCAGTGTAGTTAAAGAATACGAACAGGCGAACATCTGATAAACGGAGTGAACACTCCCGTAATAAGGCTTAATTTAATTTGTTAGTAACTTGTGTGATCTTGCTCTGTACGCATCTGTTGCACAAGCCTGTTTTCACACAGGTGCGCACTATGAATGGCCCACTCAAGCTCGCTGCTGTCCATTTTGCAGTATTTATTCCACATTTATGACGACACATCTTTCTCTCTCTCATTCAAAAGCCGTGTTCCGTTGTCTTTACAGATTTCCATTACAGCTCTCTACACATGACGACCCGTTCTCCAACTTTAATCGTATCGTTCTAATTCAATTATTTGCTGTTTCACTTCCTCTGTCTGACATCGGATTCCTTGTTGGGTGTTGGTTTGCTGTAAATTTAATAAAAACAGAATATTAAACAAAGTAATAGCTACGCACAAGAATTTATAAAGTGTTTGTCACTAACATAATTTACGTCATATTTTATAAATAATATATATAAGCAGATTTATATATTATAAAGTAGAATAGAATTGCAGTGAAGTAGGGAAAATAATTCTCATCTACATTTTTCTTTTCGTAAACAATCAAGATATTATAAATAATTTAACCAAGCTGGAGTCGATTTTAGAGTAAGTTGTTTCTGAAACTTATTCGAGGTAGATTTAAAATGGCTGGTGAATAGGAGCTGTGATATAAGAGGTAAATCGGATGGGAGGGGCTCATGTAAAGGAACATACCATTCCGAGAGTTCATCATTAGGACTAGGTTCTAGAGAGATAAGACTGCATAATGAATTTCTGTCGAACAGAAATACAAAATCGTAACTATGCATTTCATAAAATGTCATAAAGAAAAAAAATTCAAAACCAAATTCAAAAATACACTTACGTATCAGGGCTTTGATCGGTATCGGATTCCTCAAGTTCGGCTTTGTTCCGCTTCTTTTCGTACACTAGAATAATGGCGCATAGAACGACAACCTCCACACAAATGCCTAAGAAAGGCCAGAGTGCGGCAAGCTTGTCCTTCACCCTGAGGAATGTCTTGGCCTCTGATGAATGTTCCAATACGGGATCAGACCAGTTATACGACATTCTGCAGATAACATTACCGCGATCGTTCATCTCGATGTTTTCGACAGTCAGAACGGCGCCTTGAATACCCCTGTCTGGGTCTTTAGTGATCTTCACGCGACCGTCGCTACTCGAATAATTTTGATCCCCAAAGGTCCAGTATATCTTAACGCCGGGACTCTGCTTACCGCCGCACACCAAGAATAGACTTTCACCCTCCGTCACACTGATAGATTCAACCAGATGCGCCATTGGCCTTGCTGAAATTTTAGATTTAGAGCATCGAATGTGAAATCAAGACTTCTGGTAAAATATATTTAAAAAAAAAACTTGTTTTCTCATTTTTTAAAGTAGGTACCTTGACAGTGATGACTAAATTCATACAATGTTTCCAGCGTAAATCGTTTGCTTCTAACAATATTTCTGTAAATCTAGAAACAGTGGCAGACTACTTACGTACGACTCTGTACTCGGTTGTGGAGTTAGCCGCTTTACAAGTATAATTTCCATGAGCTTCCTCCTTATCCTTTAAAATTTCCAGGCTACCAGTCTCATTATCAATCCTGATGATATCTTCGTTATCAGCAAACGCCAGTTTTATTGGTGTCTTCTCCTTCAACCAACTCACTTTATCGCTGGTGCTTCTGTTTGCGCATTCAAGCACCAAAGGTATGTCTCTGACCGTAAGTACTCTAATCTTAATATCTGCATCAAACAAGATGTTGTTTTTCGGTATATATCTATAACCATGCAATTACGATGTCAAAGAAAGAAAATAATGAGTAATGTGTAAACGTTGCTATGCAAAGATTTTAAAGATTAAAATTAAAATTTTATCTTTATATTTTCTGTATATATATATATATATATATATATATATTAACATAATAAAAGAATTAATTTATAATTTTTCCATGAATTATTCAAACATTATAATATATGAGTAACGTCGGTAATTACCACTGCAGTTATACTTTTTAGGACTCGTTGTCCTAAATATTCTATAATAAATACTCTGTAATAATAGCCGAGAAACACAGCAATTGAAAAGAGAACGCGAATTATTCATATATTCCGCTTTTGTAAAATAAATTTATTTATTTTTACGTTAATTGTTCGAAATCATGCGTTATTATATTTTTTATTGTAACACTTGCGCTTAACAGAATCAAACGAATACGTAAAGTTCTCTTGTTTTCAGACATGTTATTACACAATTTCCACATTCACACAGGAGAATCAATTTCTTCGAACAAATTGTACCGTATCATATCGCTTAGACCGTAAGATTATGCTTTTATCATACCTCTATGACATTGTAACATCAATAAGAATCGTTGAAGAAGGACCCATGAGTACCGAAACGTTCGATTTTATTTTTATATTATTTTATATATTTTTTATATATTTTATATTTTTTATTTATATGTTATTAACATTGTAAACTAGAAATTTATTTTATAAAAAATCTTATTACTGCTCGATTTAGACCATTTTTTCTTTATATTTTGCATTGCAAAAAAACGCGAACAAAATCTAATTTTTTTTTATTAACTTTGCTATAATTTTCAAACAAAAATTATTCGTCGCATGTATCAGTTGAAAATTTTATTATCTAATATAATAGAGAGTATGACGTAAGACATAGCGATTATCTTATATGATTAGAAAGACATATGAGTAATATAATGATAAGTAATGAATTTTTCGTAACAATTTCATGTGCATATATAATAATTCAATTCTACACCTTCAATTCTACATAATTCAAAAAAACACCATAAAATCTAATTTCATAACATTATTTTATAGTATTTTTTTGTACTGAAGAAGACTCAAAACGAGGGTCAAAACATATACGTTACATTATTTTATTAAATTGTATTTCACACACTTACATCCTGTGTTGGCTTTTATAGGCATTATTATATTTAGATTTTTATCTTGTGAGCCTTTTATTAATAATTAGTTTTTAAACATTAATGAGTTCGTTGGAGAATACATTGAGAAGAAAAGTGAATAAAATAATAATTGTACATGCAACTAGGAATTTATTCGAGGCAGAATATCAGTTATTAAATATTATCACATATCGAGAAAAGATTTCAGATATAGGCCACGTATCTTCTAGAAGTGTAAATACTTGACTTATTAATTTAACCGATAATCGATATTTAACTGTTTATCAAACTCGGTAAATCTACAGTAAACACGTAACAAACGTGATAATAAAACATTAATATTCCTTTTAATGTAGATCAACTTTAATTTTGGTTCAATTTATATTCTTCACCTTTTTCTAAAATTCCAAGAATTAGGAAAAGATGAAAAGTAAGTTGAAGATTAAAGTCACATTACATTGATGACAGACATAAGTTCACGTATAGGTATAACAGTGAAATACACTAATCCTCTTAATGGAAACAGTGATAAACACGTGTCACATTGTCACGAAGAGGAAAAAATGCTAATGTAAATGTGTACAGGGTGTTGGAAAAACTTTATAGTAGAATTTTCTGATTGACAAAATTTTTAGGTGATTATATAGTATAATTTATCAAAATTATGAGACATACGTTCTATAATACTACAAACCAAAGTATAATGACAAGTGGAAAGACTCCTGACTGCCAGAGGTGCATTTGTAATCTCCTTCGTGACTCTCAGTCGCCTGGGATGCCGAGAGTTTGCTGCTACCGGTGTCGGTCTTTGAATGGACAATTAGCTGACCACTGGACAACTCAGGTTCCAACGTTTGACCATTCCTGGTCCATCTAACGAGTTCATCGTTCTTCAAATCGCTGCACTCGATGATCCAAGATTGTCCCTCGCGCACGATCATCGGTCCCTTATATTGCACTTTTATCCGGAAAAAAAAAATTCAAATTTATACACAAGTTAAAACTGTGAAAAGATAATTTTATCTTTAGTTTAATCAAATCGGTGTATCAATCAAATAAATTTGCAAGTTTTTTAAATAAAATTAAGAATAGCAAACAAAAAATTGCTTAATTGTCCTAAATTAGAAATAGAAAAACACACTCCAAATTTCTTACAGTGAAATTTCACTCTAAGACAGTGAAAATACAACCACCTTTGAAAATATTTTGTTTCTTGAAAGAAAGTAACAATTTTCACTGCAAAGAAGTGAAATCTCACTCGAAAAAAGTGAGTTTTCAGTCCTTTGCAGTGAAGATTCGCTTTAAAAACAGTGAGAATTGTTACTTTTTTTAAGAAGTGAAATATTTTCAAAAGTGGTTGTATTTTCACTGTCTTAGAGTGAAATTTTACTGCAAGAAATTTAGAGTGTAGATTTTTTTTACTTCGGAGTAAAGCTTTCTTGATGAATATCAAGAAAATAAATTCTATATGTTAAAAAATTCTATATGTTAAAATGTTTAAAAGATCTAAATATTACCGCTGATAATTGTTCGAATAATAAATATTTTATATTTTACTCCGATTTTGAATGTTAATCGAACAATGGACCATACTGTAGTCAACAAATAATACTTTATTAGCAAAATTGATACTGTTTTGTTGTATATTGGTTGTAATTGTAAATATACTAAATTTTAGTTATTAAGGCAATGTCCCAATATATAATAATAATGTCGATTCAAAAATACAATATTTGGAGATATTTCGATATGCGTTGTCTCGTTAATTTAAATTTAGAATATGTATAATTACAACCAATATACAACGAAATCAAATCGTCAATTTAACAACAGTATAAAACTTTCAACTTTTAAAATTGGAGTATAACATATTGTTCAAATAACCATAAACAATAATGCATGTTTATGGAGTCACTGTCACTATAATCATTGTATAGAGGAAACCGGGTCTCGTTGGCACAAGAAATAAGTTGGCATTGCGTTCAGTTTATGTATTTGTGGCAAAAGAGACAATGGAAAAGTTACTGTAAAATATGTCTTTTATAACATACGTACTTATCTTTAAGTTTCATTTAAATCAAACATTATAATAAAAAAAAGAGAATAATGTAAACTCAAGGGACACGAAGTAGATTTTCAAGCTTTTCAATATTTCGTATTAATACTTCTCAGCTTGAGAAAATAAATCTAAATAACGTATTATCAAGTACAAGAAAAGTTTTTGTTATTATACATGTTATTTTCAGTAATGATAGTAATTTGTTATAATAAACTATTAATTTGTTATATAAAACCATTAAAATCTAATGTATGTGGAGATAGGATATGTTGATTCATATTTAATGCAACTTATGCAAGGTCAGCATAGATCAGCATGATGTGCTATCGTTCGTACTTCGCACGTAAAAGTTGTGAGAACAATTCCGATCGGAATCCATTCAGATTTTATTCCATATAGGTACCTATAATCTCTATATGAGGTTATGTCTTGATATATGCATACTATGATCAACTTACCCCACTATCGGAGCAAGCTGGCTACGATGCAGAATGTTCGTATTACACTTAATACAAAGAAACTGTACATTATATAGAATCGTTTCAAAATGTAGAAAAAGGTTCCTGCTATCATATTAACACAGTTTAATCATAATAATCAGTTATTTAAAGGACTTAATGCTGAAATTGTGAAAGCTGTGCCAACGAGACCTGGTCTCCCCCGAGGTCTCCCCTATACACATTTATACTTTTATATAGTTATTTTTATACAGAAACCCTTTGGATGCAAAAATGAAATTCTAGAACAATAGTACAGTATCGAAATCATTAAACGCTCCAAAAAATATATCTAGGTAAAACTTTTTAGAATCAAAGTAAAAAAAATTGCTTTTTACAAAGTTTCTAGTTTTTTTTTCAATCATTTTGATCTCTACTCTAAATCAGTCTTATACATCATTTTTATGACAAAAAAAATGTTCAAACTTATTTATAAGACAGGAAAGTATAAAAAAAAAACTGTGACGATATAATTTTGTCCTTACATTTAAATAAATCACTTTATTAATCAAATTTTTTTCATAAGTTGTAAAAAATGTAGAAAATAAGAAAAGCATTGCTAAATTATTATAAATTAGTCTTTAGCAATTAACACATTGCACAACGAAATAAAAATACAGAATTATAAATATATAAACTTAAAGTTTGTTTTATAATAAAAGATAACAAGTATAACGTGTCTTTATAAATAATTATTGCGCTAAATAATGTCTCTCTTTATAGTACAAAACACCGGTTCGCCATTTCAAAGAAAATCACCCGTTATTCTCTGTGCGACTAAAGAAGTTATAGTCACGCAGAGTAAACTGATATTCGCGTAAATGGTTAACCTTGGACAACGATGACCCTCGAAAGTATTTAGCTCGCGCTGGATAAAAGGCAAGATAATGTGCCGAAGTCCTTATCGTGGATATATGCACCATTACTTTAGCAACCATTGTAACCATTGTAATTCCGCAGTTCCATTGATCAAGTTTTTCTTACGAGAAGTTAAGCGTTTCTTTGTTTTAGTTAAATCTCTGTCAATATTAAATATTGCGATTTGCAGATCGGAAAAGATTAACCGGTTTATTTCTGTTTCGAAATTAAACTGAAAATTTCGAAACTCACGATATCGTACCTGCGGCGCAAGTCGATAAATATTGAACTTTAAACAATTTGCGTGAAAGACGTGCAAAAAGTAGGTGTGGCAAAAATATATTGATTCTTATCTCGAATACGAGGGAGAACGATCTGAAATATCGATCGTCTGCACTTGGAGAACGCGTGTTTACGCATGTTTACATTTCAGGGTGTTCAGTGCGAGAACGATTTCTCCTATGTTCTTATAGCCGTCGGTGTAACTATACAAACTATCGATCGCATGTACAATCGGTTAATTATCCTCGCGAGTATACCGCATAGCAATGTGAACCGGAATATTTTCGCGGAAGACAATTAGTGGCAATTTAGCTGATTGCTTTCAACAATATTCGTGAACAACTGCTGCTTGCAAGTTTCGCAAATGAATTATTTCCTCACACAACGTGTAAGCACGCATAAAAAAAAATTAATTTTATATCAATTAGATGTATTAATTAATTTTAATTATATTGTTTAACATTTTAATTACAGATGGAAGAAACGATTTTGGTAGAAAAAATAATTTTGTTTAAACCACCAAAATAATTATGTAGAACGCTCACTAACTCGTTATTAGAAAATTAAAATTTTTTGCAGCATCGTCATTAATGTCTACAATAATTGTTTCAAAAATAAATTGGAGACAATAAAGAGCAATAGAAGTCGAGCGCAGAAGACGTCTCGCAATTAAAAACACCACTACTAAGAGACTAAAACCATTTATTCGAATAACTATCTTTTATTATGGTAATAGCGCTGTTATATGTTTCGGCTAACTTTTTAGCCCTCTTCAGAAAAACAAATTAATTTACATAACTATTCAATACAATTTTTCAACCAACAATGGGCTCCTCCACATCGTGATAATTAAGATACGGAATAAATGACAGACAAAACTAAATAAATCAAAAAGAAAAAGAAGAAAAACAGAAAAATTGAAAATATCAGAAATAATAAATTGTGAGAACTAATTTTCAAAGAACTAAGATTATAATAAAATCATCCCGAGAATGAAGGAACTCGCCACGATTACAAAGAACCGCATCGCAAACAATACTAATATTAATTAAAAATCGGTTCTTAATATGCTGATCAGTCAATGTCAAAATAAAAAGTAAATCAATTAAATTTGGTCAAAGGTATAGAATGAAAGAATAGCAGACAATCCACAAAAACCAAAACGACTTATTACTGTGTATGTATAGCATTGACAATAATTATTTTAATGATCTGGCAAAATTATTTTCAGATTTGTATCTATAGCTAAATTTTTAGATAGGTATTCAAGTAGATATTTTAACAAAAACGTTTCTTCCCTATTTGCTTTGAAATATTTTTCATGAAATATTCTTTCGTAATTTAGTATTTAAACCATTTCAAATTCAATTTCTAAACATTAATTTCTTACGCAATATTAAAGAGTATTATTATATATATATTTGGAAGAAAGGTTAATTTTAGATTCTATTTACTACATATATTTCATTTGAACGTAAGAAAGATTAATTTCTGATTCAATAAATTTCTTGTTAATTTCGCATTTCTCCGTTTTCTTGTTGCTAAAATTCCTTGTTCAAATCAAATTAGGAATATATATCTATAGGTAGAATATATATATCAAGAATTATATTTATATAATATACATAAATCAAGGGCTTTTGAACAGACAGCTCGAGTGGAATTCTACTTTCGGTAACAGAAGTGTCATGTGTTGATGAATCAGCAGAATTATACCAGTGTGGTGACGTACGCGTATATATATATATGCGTCACAGTAGTTTCACAGTGATAAATAATGACAAAGCATAGTCTGGCATAGTCAGTGAAAATATGAATCAGAACGCAAATCGTTATTTTCGAGTCGCGGCACGATACTGTTCTGTGATCAAAATATATGTTGATGGCCTCATTAACGACAACTAAACAGATTTAAGGCAAAACTCATCTTGCAGTTGCAGATTTAACACGCTGATAACCAACTCGTGAACGTCAGACAACTGTCTAATAAACGAGGAAAAATTCTCTCTCTGAGAACAGATCATTCAGCGTATTGCATTGTTCAATTATTTTCATCGCAGAGAATTATTCACAGCCGCGTTCAATGTTCAATTAAATTTTTACAGTACAGAGTTTAACACAAACAATATTTTAATATTTTAGAAACTTTTCTTATACACTTATCGACAAAAATAAATTCGAATATATATTTCGAAAAATTAAATTCTTAGAAAATAAAAAATAATCATGTAATAATCATTAGAGTAATCATTATTAATAAAT